TTAAGCCTCCATACTAGCCTACTACTTCTTCTCTTTTCACAGAAAGTCTCTCCGCAGGATCCAGTAAACAATACCTCCCTTACCACCAACAAGCTATAGATTCTTTTCCTTACACAGCCACACACTAACTACTTATCACCCCAACCACTCTTTATGGAGTAAAGTACTGCCTCTCAGTTTATCTGAGTCAGATGTTATTTTATCACTGATGTACTGTCAGCTTATTCCCCTCAATACTGTAAGTCTCCAAGAAGTAGGGACACCCACAGCATACTCCTCCTCTTTTCAAAGTGAAAAACCACACTTCACTTGTAAAACATAAGAAGGAATCCATTTGTTGATATAGCAGTAACCATACAAGGCTTAACCACAAATAAAGCATCAAATTAACAACATTCAAAACAGCAAGGTACACTTGGATAATCACCATATAAAGAACTGTGGTAAAGACACACAGGAGACCCTCCCACTAAGTCACAAGGAAATGGAAGCTACACAAATGGAAGCAAACTCCATTTGCTTTCTAAATCTCACAGAGATAAAAAGCCCAGATGCAGCTGAAACCGCTTCCACACACAGACTTGGTCATTAGTTTGTATTTAAGCAATTACATAAGCACAACCAAGATAAGACATATAAGACATAACCATAGTAAAGCTAACAAAACTTAACTGACTTTTAGTCACTTACCAAAGGTTTCTATCAGCAAGGTATCACACAGCACCAAAGCAGGCATAACTTCAAGAGCCATCTTTACTCAAGAGGAGCTCCCATCACACAGCAGCCTGTCCTGCATAAGAGCCCAGGACCCCCCTGGGCCTGCTCACTATTTATGAGGTAAGATGGTTGATTCATACTGGTAGTAGCAGCTGCTCTAATGGACCTCAGCTGTTGTACCAGGTGTCTGCCATCAGCCTGCCATCAGTTCTTTCAGCACCCAGCTTCAGACAGATTTGTAGTTCTTATCTGTCTTCAAGAGACTTGTATTTTTATCTGTACTGTGCTCACTGTCTGCCTGAGCGGGGCCACACGTGAAGCAGACTGGCTGAGGGGGAAGGTGGGGATCATAGTCATACAACATAATTTACCAGAACATTCTGATGCATACAACAGCAATATAAACATGACCACATCCTCAAGAGCCTTAACAAAATAAAAGAATGGGGGATTTCTCCTAGGGGTTTTCTCAGTAAGAAATACATAGTCCCTACGAAGGAATTTCTGTCTACTTCTCTATTTTCCCCAGGTGCTTGAGGGATCAGTAAGTAAGCACCTGCTTACCATGCTCTTCTTCACTGCACATGTAATAAGCAGATGGAAGCTCCTGTCCCATCAAAAAAGACAGCAAACTTTCCCTTTGTTACTGCAAGAGAGTCAAAGAACACAAGGCAATACTCAGCAAGCCACTGAAGCAACAGTAAAGCCTTCCTCTCATTGCTCCTGGGTTCAAGTGCCATCTCACCCACCCAGCTGTGGAGTGCCTCATGTTCCCAGGCCCACCTGGGAATATCTCCGCTGCAGGGTAGCAAGGACTGCATGCATTCTATTGAAACTGCCAATTTTTGATAGGTGATTTACAATGGAGAAGGCTAATGGCATTACTTTAAAAAGAAAAAAATGCTTGTATTAAGTAACTATCTGTGATAAAGTTGCTTTTTTTGTTGTTGTTTTTTTTTGCTGCTAGGGGGAAGTGCTTGTGGGTTTTTTGGCCTTTTTTTCTTTTATTCTGTTCTTAGATGATCTAAGAAAACTGTAGTTTGATGTAATCTGCAAAATATTTAATAAAACACTATTTCACATTCTTTTTTTGGGGAAAAAAATCTTAATTATCTATCCTTGATCTAATAAAAGCAGGATAGTTAACTTGTGATGTTTCCATGTGCCAGAAATTGCTGAATAGTCTTTTTTTTTTGCCAATTAAAACTTTTTGTAACTCCTGAAAACTGAATGACTGGCATGTAATTTATTAAACTTGAGGTTCTAGAAAAGAATTGATGGAATAAGTCTTAACGACCAAAACATGATGTTATAGTATTGGGTCAAGTTAATCCAAACCAAGAATAACTTTTAAATTAAATGACCCGAGAGAGATTTAACTGTAGTTGGATCTCTGCACTGAAATTTCAGCTGAATTATGGTTTTATATTCTCTTCCTTCAGCCAGAGCAAGGCTCTTATAAAGATCTCTTGTGAATCTGTGTACTTCTCCAAAAAAAAAAAAAAAAAAAAAAAAGACAACAGTAGAAAACAGGCTTACATCTCAAGGACACAGTGTCGTGTATGTTTTCTAGTTCTCCTTGATTTAAAAGTACATGGTCCTAATAACTGTGGTCCATCTAGCAGCCCTGGCTTGCTCACTCATACCCAAGGAGAAGGAAGGCATCTTGCCCCATGAGCTTGGTTTGGACACAAATGCCTCCTACCTCTCCAGCCATGGTAGACCTCACAGCTCAGTGTGACAGGTGTTACAGGAGGGAAGTCTTCACCTCTCATACCTAGGCATACATATGGCTCTATCCATATCCCAGCAGTGCAAGTCACCTCTTTGTGTCACTTCTCCCACTTTCAGCAGTAAGAACCAAACACAGCCCACAAGGCATTTTAAAACCCAAATCTGTCCCTTTTAGCTGACAAAACTGGATCACCCTACAGACAGGAAAGGAACGCATTTGATAATGAAGTGCTGAAACCCTTTCCATTAGATAACATCCATTTGGGGGTTGTTGGGAAACGTTGCTTCTTCACTTCCTTGCAGGAAGCCTCGTTACCATATGTGCATTGACGTTATCTTATTGCAGGCAGCTGAGAAAGTGTGGGTGCCAGCGTGTGAATACCAAATAATAAAGGAATCCCCCCGGAGAGGTCTGATTCAATTTCCTCTGTAATACAAGACAAACATGAAAATTCACTATCTCGATTAGCTTTAGTGCAGGGAAACATCTTTCACAGCTGATTGTAAATCTTCTGAGCAGTCTCATTTAGCTTTTAACCTTCCTCTCTTTTTCATCCACGTGCAGATTATTCCAGCCTACACATTCATTTATTTGAATAGCCAAGGACATGTGTATGTTGACTCCAGTCATAATGAGAAGCCTCTGAAGTGCAATAAGACTAAGAATACCATTAAAATCCTTCATAATTTGCTAAACAAACATATACTGCGGACCTTATTCTTAGAAATAAGAAAATTAAAATGAGGCACATCACCACAAATAAAATGCATCTACTTTCTTTAATACTGCTAGTGTTCAAAGTAATGAAAGATTTAAATAGTCTAAGAATAGATTAAAAACTGCAAGCTGCATGCTGTGTTTTAAATAACTTTTCTAAGGACATACATTTCACCACAGTAACATAAAAACTAATAATGTGCTATGAGCAATGTCAGAGGAGGTCACAGAAACAGGATGAGTGTTAAGATCTAATGAGACACAGCACAATCACACAGACACAACTCTTGCAGTCACTGCATCTGGTTTATCAGTGCCAATTCCGCTGTGCTTCTATTGTTTCCTATGTGATTTTTCTGCGACAGTTACCAAAGAAATTCTTCAGATGTCAAGAACTGCTATGAAAAAGAGAAATCATTCCCCAACATGTTTTTCCAGAAATTTATTAATGTAAATGATCATGGAAATTATTAATCTGCCTTCAAAAGGCATGTGGGAGATTAAAACACACACAGAGCACCATATCTCACTGTGGTTCCTATCAGTGTTCCCCCTCACAGGCAGAGAAATTTAAAATTAAATTGTGAATACTTCACTAGGCAAAAGATAAGGAATCGAAATCTCACAAGAGATAGTTCTCCTCAGATACCCTCTGGCCTCAATCATGTTTTAGAAATATCTGTTAGCTATAAAGTTTACAGACTCTTCATGAAATAACAAAACATCATCATTTCCAAGGTGCAAAATGTCCTCAAAAATTTGGACATACTTTTTCCCAGTCTCCCCCTGATACAAGTGGGAGGCTACAAAATCAGCAGGAATATTTTGTTCATGTGTATCTCATTCCCACATTTCCCACAAGATCTTAGAATTGTGAAAATTCACACCTATGTTCAAATACAATTTAAAGACAAAAAGATTCGTGTCCTCACACTTCAATTCTTCAAATTCAGATCTAATCTAAACTAGCTACCCAGGTTTCTTCTCACAAACTATGGGGAGAAGTGGGTATGTTTAACCAGCTACTCAAGTCATATACACTCCACTCTCTCAGGCTGGGACATACAGCCTGAGGAAGTATTTTCTGAGATGTTTTCTCTCATCAAAAGCAACTGCCCAAATTACTCCTTTAAGTTAGAGTTCTCATTCTTAGAAAACTAATATACAAAAATCCTACCTAAACTATTCATTATAGATTTCCCCAAAGGAAACAACTATTATCAACGATACTTACCATTGTGTCATCAATTTTGTCAGCTGGCTAGCATTCAAATGCTGTGCGGACAATCCATTACAGCTGCTCAGTTTCCATCATTCCTCCAGAAAAAATTCTGACAGAAAATCATTGCATGATGTATTTACAGATCATTTTAATTGCATTAAAAATAATGAATATCTAACAACAAAAGAACTTGTAGATCAGTCTACAATGTTTAGTATACATTAATGTATCCAGTTATTCCATTGTCCAGAATTTCCAACTAGAGGCAGGACAGGACACAACAAATGTTCTAATCCCATTTTCAGCAGGGACTGGCAGCAAAAGGTTAGGTACTGTTCAATTTTCTTCAAAACGAGGACTTTTGGGGCAATTCTTTCAATTTGTAACAAAGGTCACAAGTTAATTTCACATATGTGTTGTCTTCTTCCAGCTCTATTAATATCAGATCAGTAATATACAATACCAGCAGCATTGGCACAGTCTGAAGATACATCTCTAGACATCTACCAAGCATTACACACGTGTATCAATGCCAGAGATGCATCTGGTCAACTTGCATCAGAAAATAAGTCTGGAGGAAAGGCTTTGACCTCATGGCCAATTAAATAGCAAGAAGGCCAAGGTTACAGTATTTCCAGATGGTATGAGCTTCATGAATCTCCATGTGGAAGCGTACCTAGAACTGACAGATGGTAATACTTGTTGAGGTGATGTCTTGTATTCTAAGCAGATGATAAACAACTGAATAACATTAAAACAGCCCCCATCGGTCTTGTATTCATAGCATGTCAAATGGATACATCTGAAATATTCTCTTTATCTGATCTAATATTTAACAGGAAGTCATAAGTCATTGGTAAACTCCCCTCCAATTTGCTCTCCATAATACGTAACATATAATAGATTACAAGCCAACATTACTTTTATATAGCATGCTTAGCACATTCTGAAATATATCAGCACTCTTTTCAGCTGAAGTACAAGATTACTTTGTAAAAAGTTGCCAATTCCTATTTGTTTTCATCTTTTCAACACCATAAGTTGAGAGCTCCAGTATTTTCTTTTCTTTGGCAAAAGCTCTGAAGATTTCTTAAAAGTTTCATAACATTGACAAAATCCCCAAAGCAGCAATAGCAGCACTGCAAAATTTGCTGCTGCTGCTTCTATAATGTCCTTTATATTGAATTAAATTTAATGGTGACTCTGCAGTGTCTCAATAAATATCAGCCTGTATTTGAAATAACATTTGTCTTGTATTTTACATACATTACCTTAATCCAATTTGTCCTTACACCTTACACAGGACAGCAGACAGTAACATAATCCATGTATTTCTGATCCAGGTAAAATCATATGAATGCAAAATCAGTGCATTCAAATGCAATTAAACTAATTTCTGCTACATTTCTGTTTGATGAAGAGCTGATACATTTATTCCTCTGACCAATACCAAGCAGATCAAATTAAATTAAAATGTAGCTTCAATTTTACCATGAAGCAAGAGCACTGTGCATTCATTAGTATGTAAATACAATTACCACAATGATACTGCTTCTGTTGACATTGTATTTAATCCTAAGAGGCTTGAGACATGAATACCCTCTGGTGACTGGACAAATCACATCCCAAGAAATATGAAAGAAGTTTTCCAATCATATTCCCCTCACTTCCAGATAAAGGAGTAATGGAGAAGAACAAGGCTTAGTGTACTTTTGGAAAGAGAGAGATGAGATACTTCAGCACTCACTGAAATTAATGAGAACCTCTCAAAAGAAGGTTGGTTGAGTGCTACATGTTGGCTAAGTGGAAATTCAGCTACTGGTTTATCTTTAATCCCCTTTCAGGTAATCCTAAAGATTCAGCCCTTGCAGAGGTCAGTGTAGTTGGGGATTTGGGACAAGACGGAAATGGGATGAATGCTCAGATAAGCTCTAGAACTACACAGCACTGCGTTCAATGTTTTGCTGAGATTAGCTCTGCTAGAAGTTTCTGAAATAAAATCTTAGAACTTATCCATTATCTCTGAAAGACCAATCTATAGAAATGAAAAATTTATGCTGGGCCTCTGCAGTGTTGACAGGTATTTTAATAGGCCTACACATTGCATTAAAGAACATTTATCAAATTAATTGGTTGGAAAAAGTCAGGGTTTGACATTGCTCATTGGTTGTGAGTTCAGAGCTCACTATGTCATATTAAACAGTACATCTCACTTCAATTTAGAACAAGTGCCAGATACTTATGGAATTAAGAAAAATGTTTTAGCATCAAAGTGGTATTTAAATCTTTAATGCAATGGATTACCAGCTCCATCTCAGAAGAGGCATATGGACATACAAAACATTGTTGCTAAAATGACATTGAAGAACGATCTCCTCTATAAGCATGTGTCACAGCATAGAAAATGAATTAACCTGCTCATAGAAAGCAAAATTATTTGCACTACTACAGGCCTCATTTAAGCAGCACAGTAAGTTCTGGAGTTAATTATTCACAGAAAGTTTGCAGAGTATGATTTAGCTTAACAATAGGAAAAATGTTGATGAGTTAGCTGTCTTCTGAAGAGCTTTCTGACTTAAACAAAATTGGCACTCAAAACTGATTTCAAATACAGAAAAAAAGAGCTTGAGCTTCAACATGAAAACTTTCACATTATATCAGGAAAGACATTCTTAGGAAATTTAAGTGTTCTTGTAGCTTGTTAAATTTCTGGACTACAGAGTATGAATTATTTCTAAAACTGAGTAAAGCTCTTAGCAAGCATTTTCACATTATTTGTAGATGACTCAGTCAGGCCTGTTACATGCAGAACTTATTCCAATACAATTTCAAGAAACACACTTTCACTCATATTATGCAATTTTCCCCACAGCTGACCTCTGACCATGACCTAAGGAAAAACCACATGACCATGCATTTCTATCCCATGCCCATCAATCCCCAAGCCGATAAAAAGGTGTGTTCAATTAATTCAGAAGCATTAGAGAGATTGCCAATGGAGCCCATTTATTCATTATTGCTAACAGCTGCAGCTGAACTCACCAGTAGGTGTGACTTAGCAAACCTTACTCTTGAACCCTTACAACATCAGATCTGACCTTCTACTTCAGCCAGCATAGTTGTGAGTCAGTGAACTACCAGGGCATGCATCGAGAGTACTGGTTTATAGGTAGCTTGTATTTATTTTCTTTCCTTGCATATCAATTGCAGTGAAATAAAAACAGAATAGCTGCATGCTCCATCTTCAGCTTAAGGGGCGCTTTATCTGTTAAACATCAATAGACCATTACAAGATACAGGCAATTAACTTGTCTGCATCTGTGGTATAGGCCTCAGTATTCAAATATCACTGTGAAGATGGGGCCAAACAGGCTAGCTGATTGGTGGGCTGATAGGGTAATGGCTTCCTCATGAAAAGGAGCAGAGAGACAGACTCTGATCTACTTACTCTGTGGTGTCCAGCAATAGAACCCAAGGGAACTGCTTGAAGCTCTGACAGGGAAGGGTCAGATTGGATACCAAGGAAGTTGTCATGGCACTGAGCTGCCAGAGCACAAGAAGCATCTGGACAATATTCTCAGATACATGGCCTGATTTTTGGGTGGTCCTTTGCAGACTCAGGAGTTGAACTTGATGATTCTTGCACAACCTTTCCAACTTGGGATAATCTATGATTTTATACCACAATTCCAAATTGATATGTATCTACTGGAGCACATGGTATTACCTGCACACTGGACTTGGATTCATCCAAACATACAGTGAAAAATATGACACAGTGAGTGAAAACTAAGTCTAAACTAACAGCTTGATCTTCATGCAGCATATTTGTGACTTTCCCTCTAGGTAATTAATAAATCTTTCCCATCTTACTTCATAACTTCTTGACAAGAACAACATACTTTCTGTAAAAAGTCTGAATAACTTTTTCTCTACACAGGCAGGCTATAACTACTCAGTAGGTATCTGCTCTAAACACTGATATATTCGGGGCAGTTTTACAGAGTAGCAAGCAGGGTATTTATGTAGTTTTAGTAAAACCACCTTCTCCAAAAAACTTGCTCCAGTGCATGAACCTGTTCCACCTGGAAGCAGCTGATTAGAGTTTGGGAGGTACTGGTTCCTTCTGAGAGGTCAACAGGTTCCTGAGTGGAAATGAAAGTGTTCAGGGATTTGGCAGAAAGAACTATTTTTATCTTTGGAGCAAAATGAGTTTTCAGTGTAGAGATATGAGAAGTAAATGTATCATTCATATCTGAACAGGTGTTTAAAATCTTATCCTTCCAGCAATATAGTAAAGAAGCTATGCTATTATGTCAGGCTATGCTCCCACAGCAGAATCACTTCTACAGGAGGCAATTCTGAAACATTGCTATCTCTATTTTAAAATAATCTAGCATGGGATCAGAGCAGGAGCTATGGACGTTGTCACCAACAATTTGTGGTGTCCAGGTAGGTGAAGCAAAGATAATCTATATGGCAGTGATAACACAATATGGAACTTCAGCTGAATTCCTTGAAAAACCTAAAGCTTGATTTTAGATGCCTCAAGAAAATACATATTTGAGTCATTGTCTACATCATTTATAATTAATTCAATTGAGAATTCTCCTTGTACATAATCTGTATTTTGAATACCAGCACATTCTGAATATTTCTGTTGGACATTTTAAGGTTCCTTTTCTCATAAAACTTGCATCTAATTCAAGATAAAGACAAGTAAATCAGACCAAAGTCATAGTGCAGTGACTTTCTATATATATGTAAAATATGTAGCTTAAATAGATGGTAAAAGTGCCTCCTCAAGTAATCAAGATAATTACATGACATATTACCAATTCAATGGCTGCTTTAGCAACTGCTAAGTAATTTTTAATATTAGCTTCTTTGTGTTTCAGCTAGCTATGAGCTGCCTGAACTAACAATAGCAGAGAGGATATTAATTTAGCACTGAAGATGCATGCTGTAGTTTGAACCAAATATATCCTATTGTTGTAGAAATACTTGGTGAAATATTATGGCTCCTGTTACTCAGCAATTAAACTCACTGGAAACGTTCTGATGCTTGTCAGAAAACATTAATTTGTAGAACACAAACTGTTTTTTACCAAAATTACCTCTGGCTTGATATGTTCTGGCTGAATGCCAACAGAGCGATGCGGGACATGGAAGCCAGTGGAACCAAAAGTCCTTGATGACCCAGGTGTGCTCATCCCTGGGATTTTCCCACTGTTGAAGCTCCACTCTTTCAGTGGGAATCTTTGGATGAAAAAGCCCAGGACTGCAGCTCTGCAGTGAATCTCAAATCCCTACCTCTAGCTAAAACCAGGAACCCTGGGATTTTGGACAGCAGCTCAGCGAATTCAGCATTCATTTTTTCAGCCAACAAAAATTTGTCAAGAATTTGGGATTCATAGAATACACTTCATGTATAGCTAGAATATTTAATTATCAAAATACATTAATGTTTAAAAAAAAAAAAAAACTGCATGGGAAACGTCCATCTTGGCACTTAAATTAATACAGTTTTAAAATATTAGTCTGGAACTTGAGATCTGGCAGTACCTACCTCTGAGTTTTTCATCAGCTTAATTGAGCTGGCTGGTATCAGTTTCTCACAGCAGGCAACTAGAAGTTATGGCAGAGCAAGAAAATACCTATTGAGAAATGCAGAAAGTCCAGGAGATGCAATAAATCAACTTCAGAATATTTTGTTTATGTGGTGAAGTTTTAATGAAAACTATCTTTGCACACTGCAATAACTAAGCAGTACTAGAACTAGTTCTTGTAGATTTCATCATTCCCATGTTTAGAAGTAATTCATCCAGCTCAAGAACATTAAAATTGTGGAAAGAAAAATCAGGATTGGAGAAGAAACATGGCAGATATAGCAATCAAAACAAGTCACACGCATAACAAAACATTGGTTTTTTTCCCCCTCAGTCTCACTAAGAATCACGGCATACGTACAATCTGTTACAGGATAAATAAAAACTAAGCCTCATTTCTAGAATTTAGCTTTACTAGCAGCCACACACACAAAAAAAAATTGATACCCCAAAAAAATAATTATATGCCACTTCCCCTGAAAGATCACAGCAGACATGCAAGCTTTGCTTCAGACAACAAAAAGCAGACAGTCTCCAGCCTATCCTTTGTGAGGACCAAAGGTATACCTTCTTCAGTACCTAGGCAGCCTCAGATTGAGCCTTGTCTCTGGCGTTTCCTTCATTCCCAAAATGCTCTTTGGCAGGAGTCCTTCCCCTCTTTGCAACCTCTCATGGGCCTTTTCCTTAGGCACCGCTCGGGTATCTGACAGTAGCCACCTTCTGATGCAAGGTTGTTAAACAGGGAAGGGAAAATCAGTGTTACCAGATGGGAAACAATGACAGGATCAGGACACAACCTCTCTGCAGCTTTCTACATTGACTATTACTGTGAAGAAGTAGCTGCTGCATCCCAAGTCTTCGCAGGCAAAATGCCTCCAGGAAATATTGTTATTGATACAGTAGGCAGAATAGATCCTTGACTTTCATTCATACATAAGAGTTGTCTGGAACTTAGAAAAGTGCTTCTGAGTCTCAATCATGGAGCTCTTCCTATTCCTGTACATTCATCTATCTTTGTCCTGCCACAGCCTCTTTCCTCCTCTATAACTTTCTCTTGCCTGACTTTGTTACATTAGTGCTTCTTTTTCTCTCTTTGGCATCTTTCTTTTTATTGACATCCAAAGAATCGTTAGTGTTTTCTGCTCTCAGATGAAGCCCTCTAACTCCCATTTCTCTCTTCAGCCTTCATTCCAAGTGTTATTGTCACTAGAACTGACTGTGACGCCTCTACAGAACAAATCGAAAATACATTCATGGCTCCCCTTCATGTAAAAAAAGAAGAAAAAAACAAAAAACAAAAAACAAACCACCAACCTTGAAAAGGAAGGTCATTCACCTCTACTATTCTCCCTGATATTGTTTCAGTACCTTCTGGAATACTTCCAGCACACACAACTTTGGTTGTGGAGAGCTACTTAGTGTTACATATTGGTGAAAGCTGAATTCTGGTATAGAAATAAGTTTTGCAAAAATACTTTGCAATAATACTCTTCCCCAGGATAGTAATAATAAGGTCATGTTTGGCAGATCTCCTTGCACTGTTACAGTTGGTTTTTTTTTTTCCAAAACTTTCAGGAGTTACCGGATACAAAAGAATTACAGATGAATTCCAATTCTTATAATCCACACAGCATCATTACCTTAATTAAATGGCTTAAGAGTGAGAATCTCAATATCAAAAGGTGCCAGCTTGCTGCCACCTGTAAAGGACAGACACAACGAAAAATATTAGAGGAAAATAATTTTCTTAGGGAGATCATTTGAATTATGGTGAAGTATATATTTGCAAAAAAACTTTTTCTGAAATCTTTCCAGTGTTTGTTACCTCTGTGATCAGGGTGTTGGCAGCCATCCACCTGGCCAGCACAGCTGGGTCTCATTAAACAGATTCTACACAATCCTTCAAACTCAGTACGTTAAAACACGACCGAGCAATACCAGCCCCTTCTCATTAAAATTACACAGAAAAGAGACCATCACTTGATGTGAGTTTTAGGATGCTTACGCTAAGATCTTATCTAAAGGACAGGATTATTAGCAGGCACAAATTTCAAGAAATGCTGCCACAGTGTACACATTCAAATTTACTTTGCTGAGAGACTACTCCCTATATACATATGCCACCACGGCTTTTTCCAGAATGCCACAGCAGAAAGCTTTGCTAGGCAATGGTAGTCAACATGCTGCTCTTTCATTGCCTGGGATATAGCCATTACTCTCATCATCTAAAAGCTTTAGATATCATTGTCCTGTATGTGATGTTGTCAAGGGCTGGATGTCGCTACCGCTTCCATCTTTCTCTGCTTCCTAATCAGCAGTCATTGTTATTTAATATTGTGCCTGCCAAGTGTCAAAAGCAACCTAGAAGACTTATTCTAAGCTGTGTTTTTCATTTCTACATGTTCAGCTCAAATTCCAGTTATGCTGCAACTTAGAATTTTGTGTTGCAATACGATGCTCTTCTTGTAGAGCCAAACCTAGTATCTAGTACAGCCATGCCATGTGGAGAGCCCTAAACTTAGCAAACACAGCTCAACATCCAAACATCCCAGAAATAGTTTGTGCGGTTCACTGGCTCCAAGCTGGTTCCAGTGATGAGCAGTGTGAGTTTTGTTATGGCTGTAGATGTGGGAAAAAATCATGGGCCCTATGTCCTTTCATGGTCACTTCTGTAAGTTCTAACAACCACATGTAACCAAGAGTTTGGCTTCTTCTTTCATCACCATCTCATTTTACATAACCAGTTAAACATTACCATTTAACAACTGCCTTATTGTTACTGCCTGTGCAAAAGGACTAATTAGGCTCTAGGAAACTTCTGCAACGGAAGACAAGTCAGTCTTAACAGATTTTTCAGGACAACCTGTCTTCTGGTACTTGTTTTGCATAGAAATTAAAGGAAACTACATTAAGAGACGTGTCACATGAAACAGTAGTCTGCAGTTCATAGGAAAGGATCCTCTCTTATTCTCTTGATGAGAATGTGAAAAAATATCCTCCACTAATAACCACAACACAGAACTCCAGAATAGACTGTTCAGCTAATAAATTAGAACTTGCTCTTGGAAAAATGTTTATTTATTTTGAGTACATGCTTTTCATTGTCCTCTCTGAGAAAACTGGAGTTTGTTTTCTGCTCACCATTTGCCAATCTGATTTGCTCAGCTCAAAAATTGCTGACCATTTTGCAAGTATGTGAGGTCTCCCATGACCACTGGGATGTCCATGGAGTAGAGCCACCCTCTGAAGGCAACTAGCCACTGCTACACGATTCATGCTCCTACTGGGAGTTTTGTTTCTAGAATCCTGCCCAGTTACTTCTGACAAGCTGGTTGTGCTGTAAGTGCTGCAATGTAACTAAAAATGAGGAGGTTTTGCATCATTTTCTATAAATTTTGAAACACTGAGCCCTGTCATTTCTTTAGCCCCCAAGGGAAGTCCATCATAAAATCTACAGATTGCACTACTCTAATGGTAAATTTTCCCTTTTATCTGGGCAAATAGCCAGGCTATGAAGCTTTTCTTGTCAAGAGGAACTAATGGCTGCCTCTGTCATTTTTTTCCCCTTCAATTATTTAAGCTTTCCCTACACTCAGGTTGGCTTCTTGCTGGCAGCACTGTGGACTGCGTCTATTAATCATTGACTGTCATTGTATTTTAAAAGCGGGAAAGTGAAAAGATTGCCTAAGAATAAAAATAGAAATTTCCTGTTTTTTCCTGACAAATAAATGATAGCTATATTTTTCCCAGCTTTACACTGTCTTCAAATATGCTTTCCCATTTTCCAAATAAAAATAACATTCTAGACACACAAAGCAAATTGGCTGTTTCCAGAAAGTCCACATTTCAGGATGTCCTTTCTCCTGTCCTGTCAAGGTTTGGTAGTCTTTACTAAAGCTTTGGAGTCCTTCCCTGCAACCATCTCTAAAAGAGTATCAAGGAAAAAGGACTATGTTCTCAATGTTTTATTGGAGGCTTAGCCTCCTAAATCAATGAGAAGCCATTTCTATCAGTGGTAAAACTAACCTACTTAATTATTTGCCAGGAAAGCTCTCAGCACTCTATATTCTTAAACCCTCCCTCCTATCTTTGTCCAAACTGACCTCTTCGCACCACAGTCAGGATCCTCCTCTGCAAGCCCTCCCAGTTGGCCTTCTCAATGAAGAGAGCATAAGGACATTCCAGGCCCATACTCTTTTCCTGTACACTTGGACTTCCCACAGCTTGTCATCCTCACAGCTCTTCCTCTTCCTTAGCTGTGTGCTCCTCTGGAAACTGCAAGCATGACTGAATACTTCACTGTGCTGAAAGACACAATAAACCATAAGGGCATTTTTTTTTAAAGAAAGATAAAGCCCATATCAACTCAGACAACAGAAAAACACTTGAGCTTCTTCCTCAATATAAACTCTCAGTTTTGCTTTTGAGAGACTGAAAAGCCACTACAAGCAGAAAATCATATCAAACTGCTTCTATTCACTGCACACTGTTTTGCACTTACAAAAACTATTGCCATGTGCCTGACCCAGTCACTCAAAAAAAAAATGAATTCGTATGTCTCACTCTGCCTGATGCTTTCCTGTAGGGTCCAAGAAATGAGAATTTCAGATAAAATAACATCCTATAAAGAAATGGCCTGTTGAGTAAGTGTAATGAAAATACTCCTTGAGTTGCAGCGCATTCTGACAGACACAAAAGTCAGCTCTAGCTGATGGAAATAAGACAGATGCTAGGACTCAAAGGAGCTGAACCAATATGGCTAAAATATTTTGTAGTCAATGTAAAATTGGTTAGGACCTAAGGAATTTGATCTCTCTTGTTTCATGAAAAATGAAATATACAGGTGATGCTTTCTCTGCATTTTATTCTATGGAAACAGAGTATAAGAATAGAAAACATTGTGAAAATCTTTCCAGGAAAAAGAACTTGCCATGCATAGGGTTTAATATTGACTTTATGCTCTGCAGTACGTTCATATATTTATATGAGTAATAAGTTACCTTTATTACCACCAAGTTTAATAACGTGTATGTTATCACATATTATTAAATATTATTACATACTTGCTATAATACTTACATGAACATAATATCATAAATTACCTGAGAAATGTCTGTCACTCATGGCTTTAAATATATTTGCTACGCTGCACTGAGATGTTTACAATTTAAATAATCAGCAATAGTGCATAAGAATGCTTTTTCTTTTCTGACTGCTGAAAAAAAAAAAAAAAAGAACTTTGAGGTATCTGTGTCGGTCTACAGCTGAGGAATATTTTCTGCTCCCTGTTTTCTGGAAATTATAAGCAGAAAAATTCTGTCATTTTGCTACATTATTCACAATAGCCCAAAATAAGGTCTGCTGAGTAATGGTGTTGGTGCAGACAATTTGATACATACAGAAAAGATTTGGGGTTTTGTATTTTAACTCAGATTATCTCCAGTCTAGCTCCATGGTGTAAATGCCACAGATTGCCATTCACCTTAATATCACCTGAAAGGAATCCAGTTCCTGCACTCCCAGACTCCACAGAACACCAGTAAACAGGAACAACTGGGAGAGAGAATGTCAGAAGCGCAGTTCAACCAAAACTGAAGCACTAACACAGGTGCACCCATTGTACCTTAGGGGTGCCTATTGCCATTTCTGACTTGTAAAAGTTAATCCACAAATGAAAAGACAACTCTGTTCCAAACTATCCATTGATTTGTTAACCATCACATGGCTGTTTTCATAAGGGAAAGCAAGGCAGCTGGGACAAAAAGATATCAATGTAAGTATCCATTGAGTCATTAATTCAATTACAGCACAAGTATGACAGCAAAATAACTCACACTTAAGAAAACTAGAGCTGATTAAACCTAATCCTGTTTATCCGGAACAATCATAAAATTAAATCTCCATTACTAAGAGAAAAGAATGTCTCCATTGATCATTTCAATCCTTACCAGAAACACAGCAAGTCACTGAAATATGATAGCTGTGAGCTGCAACTTCTTTCTGTATTGTTGCAAAATCTCAAGCAAAGAGTTCAGAATTAAATGATATCATGCCTTTGACTGTAATACCTACCTAAGACTATAACTTAACATTGTGAGATTTCACCATTGTCAAGCAGTTGTGACACCATGGTAGTCTGGAATTACAGCCAGTTATGTGCTCAGCAGAGTGTCTGCCCAGTCAATTCTCAGCTGCATGTTTCCTCTGGATAGCAGCAAATGAGCTCTGTGACATCCTTAATACAAAGGCTGAAAGTTTAATTCATTTCTAAATGCAGAAAACCCCTTTGGGAAACCTTTGGCTTCCCACAGTATTACCAAACCATGCCCAGGTTACTTACCAAGCAGCTCCCCAAAGCCTGATGGAGCAGCAAGGCCAACAACCTCAGCACTTAGGCTGGGCTCGCAGTGTTTTGTACAGGAGACACATGCCTTCAGAGGGAAAGGTCAGAGCCAAAAAGCTGGTTTATATCTGAAAACAAAAAGTACAAAAAGGAGCACTGTTAACGCAAACACTCTGCTGTGCAAAGCAGTGCTACAAAAAATTCACTGCTTGCATAAGAAACACAGTTCCTCAGGGAGCCACAAGGTAAACTGCCCCTGGGGGGAGATGGGGAGGATAGCAATTTGCAGTGCCAATCTGCTCTCGTGGATTCAATAACACAGGGTGAATTGAGCACCTTATATGGATTGAAATGCTGTTTTCCTGGTGAAAATCTCAACATGGTCTGATGCAGCTGTGTTATAAGAGTATTAAAACCAATCATCTCAAAAGTAGTAAATTTAAGTCCATTGTCCTGGCCAAACTGTGACTTGGTAACTTAGATTATTCCAAGTTACTTAGTTTAACTCTTCCTTCTTTAAGATCCCAGGTACTGAGATCTGTAGGGACCAACAGAAGGACCCAGAGATGACACAGTTCCACCCAGACTGAGGCTCAAGCCTACCTTACCCTTCTAGTCTCTTTTGCTTCCATCCTCCCTGTGAGGTGAGGAGGTACTACAGCCCAGATCTCAGCTCCCTTACAGCTCACAGACAAGGAGATAATGGATGTAAACTTACTGCTAACACCACTCAATCCTCAGCACCATCCTTGACATCCTGGCTTCTAAACATCCCCAGGCAGAATTATTTTCCTAGCAATGCAACTCTCAGAAACCATACAGCTGAGTGATCTAAATTAGCAATTATGGTTTAAAGGATTAAGTAGCAGCTAAAGAAGGATCATCCTCACCAGGAGTTAGAGCCTTAAATTTCTCTGCCTAGTCTTTGCACAAGAAAACTCAGTAGGCCTGCAAATTAAATCTAAGTCTCCAGACCCCCTCACTCATCAGACCATTCATCAGACCATTCTCTCATTGAGCTTAAGAGAATACATAATGTGTATTTGGGCTAAAGAAACCCAGAAAGGAAATCCATTTTGCTTTTTATTTCATTATTATACACAATATTTTTTTAACAAACTCCAGTAACAAATTGCAGCATGAATACTCTGCACAAAACTGCAAAGCCATAAAAACTACAGCAGTTATAAGAATCTGTGGGGTAAATATATTCACTGACTGCTTGCAGCACCCAAAACAGTGGGCAGCCAACAAAAGAACCAACCATCCTAACCGACCTGACCCACAGGGAAATGTCTTTCTAATGCAGAGTTAGCGATTTGTTTAACTGCATCTGTGCCAGCTAGACACAACCTAGCAGGAAGCTGACGGCTTCATCTCAGCTCCAGCTGTGCTCTGTCTCTCATTGAAATCAATGGGATTGCTCATGTTCTCAGAGGAAGGCACTTTTCCCAAGTTTGCTTGATTTTTATGTGCTTTCACAAGACAAAACAGAACAAGAAAAAAAAGAATTGGGGTGTAATGAAAAGCTCCAAACTCTTTTCACTCTTTTCTTAACTTGAGTTTCTATTGTTTCTATTACGATTCAGAAATTTGGGGTTCAGCTCCCATGTATGCCCCAAAAGTGCTTGAACATCTCCAGCCTCCCTCCTATTAACTGGAGAGGGCCAAAGAAAAACCAGTGCAGTAAGTTTGCATGCTCCAAGTGGAAGCACAGCTCTACTGCTGCACAGGAGGAAATTTATTATTGTTAGGTTTTTGCTGGTAGTTGGACACCTTAAAGGAAAGCTTTTACTTAGACAATCACCTTTATAAAAGATTCAAAGCCATCCAACCTGGCACCAAGACAAACAGAAGAAAACACTGTCTCCTGGGAGCTGCCAAAAGTCTCCTGAAGGAAACCTAAACAAGGAGTGACTGTACCCACAGGCAGCTCCGGCGTGAGAAAATGGTATTGTTAAATTGCACATTCAGCACACTTATCTGCTGCCGAAAGCACAAAAAACAGGAAGAGGGATTGGTGTGCTTGAAGAAGCTGGTGGTGAGTGTTGGAGAACTTGTCTGCTGCATGTTGCTGTTTCACCCAGCCTCAAAAGCAGAGCATAAGAGGAGATGGTACACAATCCCACCCCAACAGCAGCCTTTGATGCAACCATAAGCATGCGGCTGGGAATTCTGATGCTTTTTTTTTTTTTCTCTTGGTCTTTACACTGGTGAAAAGGCAGATTATGGTGCCATTCTTTATAATCCAAATATTTCCAGGAATCATAGAATAGTTTAGGTTGAAAGAACCTTAACTTGTTCCAACCCTCTGTGAGTGGGACACCTTACAAGGGGTTTCCAGAGACCCATCTTATAATGAATAATATAGAACTCAAGAAGCAGGCTTACTGAGCTTATTAAATGGCTTACGAGATATGATTAACTGCTAAGAATAGGAGAATAGGTCTCACTATTCTTGCTTACGTAGGAGAAAAAATAATCATTTTACAGCAGCAATGACCCAGATGACAGATTTCATTTGAGGATAAAGATTATTTCAAATTAGAATTCCCCCTCAGATGATGATAGTTGTCTCCATAATTCTTCAGAGAATGTTTTTACATTCTGGCTGCCTGAGGGCCTTCATAACACTTCAGAGCACAGCACTCACTGTGCCACTGTGGCATGGTAATGGTTGCAAAACATGTCTGTGATGGCATTTGGTAATAGGGTACTGCATGCTCCATCAACTTACAGAAATCAGTATTAGCTACAGTAGACTAGAGACAGAAATCCACTGCCATCGTTTCTGTGGCAGAGCAACTAGATTCGTATAGAGTAACTCTTCTGCTCTCAGTGCTTGTCTTCAAGATTAAGCTCTTTGTTCTAGACTTGGAGCAGGTGGAGAGCTTCCTTTTCTCCCAGCATAGCTGTAGTATCAAGAGCAGGATGAAAAATGATGGCAAATATTAACTAAGGCTAAAAAAAGTGACAGCTGCTCTTTCAGAACCCCTGCAGGTTTTTTTGTTTTGTTTTGTTTTGTTTTTTTTTAAAAAAAAAAAAGCCTTGCAAGCTTTTGTGTTGTTCTTTTCTTTCCAGCACTGAGAAAACAAATTAATGTTGCTATTAGAATTACACTCCCCTGGATCTTCATATGTTAAAATAAACTTGCAATGTCAATAAATCACATGAACAATGGAGTTTAAATGGGTCTATTTTCTACTAACATAAACAAATCACAGTAGTGATTTTATTTTTCATGCGCACAAATAAATATATATATATATATGTAATCAGGTTGTTAAGTCTTATTCATTAACAACCTTGCAGCAGGAATATTTTGACTCTTCTATTTCAAATTTAATTACTACATGTGCAGCAGATGCAGTTCACTTTGAAGAAAGCACTCATGAAAACACTACACAGTGTATGGCCACGCTTAACCCACTGCAGACATGTACATGCTCACTCCATTCAGCCTCCCCCTAATTGCTGCTGTAGTTATAGATCTAGGACTACTTGCCACAACAACCTATGCAAAAGCAATGGCATGGACACTTAGAGAGAAACATCTCAGACTTCTATTCCACCTTCTCCTTTACTTTCTGGCTTTTCTCTGGATTTCAATTCCTCAGTGAGAGTGCAATGTGTGCTCTTTGCTGCTATCAGCATTTTCCAGAGCCAGCTGCCATCTGATATATCTCAAACATTCTCACCATGAGGAACTTTACCTTGCCTGCCATCACTACCTAGACATATCTTTTGAAGGCCAAAGCTTAGAAGCACTGGGAAGAAGCACAGGGAGGAGCCATGCCACCACCTCCTGCAGGTGAGCATGGCAGGTAGAAGGGATGGGGAGGACTCATGGGGACCAGGGGAGAAGGGGAGCAAAGCGACAGCCCCAAGACAGCACAGAGACAGAAAAGCCAAAAGTGGTTGATCAAAGCAATGAGGACGAGAGGCAATGGGCACAAGGTGGAGCACAGGAGGTTCCCTCTGAACACTGGGATCACTTCTGTGCCGTGTGGGTGATGGAGCACTGGCACAGGCTGCCCAGAGGCTGTGGGATCTCCCTGGAGGTCTTCAAAAGACATGTGGACATGGGACTGGGCACCCTGCTCTGATGTCCCTGCTTGAGCAAGGACAGCGCACTGAATAAGAAATTAAAAAAGCATGCCTATCTTGTTGTAACTATGGATCACCTTTAAGGATGATGTGGGACCATAGAACAAAACTGCTGTCAAAGGACCATGATTTATTTTTAGCTAAGGTTAGGAGGTCCATCAATAAGACAAGGAAATAAAGAGAGCTCATCTCATGGATAAGAAAGTGAACGTTGCTCTGTAGGGAGGAGGGAATTACCCTTTATCCTGGCTTCCACTATCGACTCTCTAGGCTGCTAATTAAATCCTTCAGATTTTTCATGGTTGATCATTAATTGTAGACTCTGCATTTGATAGGCACCTGATTTGAAAGTCTGCAGCTTAAAACATACATAAGCAAAACAACTCCCAGCTACCACTGACAGCGATAAAAATTGCTTCTCGTTCTTGGTGTCTAATACCAGTTACTTGGAAAAAAATGCAGTCCTTGGTATCTCAGAAAGGGCATTCAAGATTAACAGATATTTTTGGTATTAACAAGTAAGCTTCAGTAATGAAACTTTCTCTGGGTTGAGTATTAGGAAAATGAGTTCAGATTTTGGAAGGCTTATGTACTTACTCTCTTCAGAAAATACATGGGAAAAATTGAGGAGAAGAAGACTGCACCTACCTGCAGAGGCTGAACAGTGAGTGAGTAGCAAGTAAGCACTGAACGCACACTGACCAACAGCTGAACGCTGCTCATTAAGTGAACACCTCTATTCAGCACTGTTGAATCATACCTGGTCAGTTAACTAAAGGCTGCTGTAAATTACATGTGCAACAAGGTAAAATTTAAAGCAATACAGACAGAGTTGAATGTTAACTGTGTAATCTTGATATTGAATATTCCTGTTGTGGATTCAGCAGCATGTTATGTCCCTGTGTGTCTTCTGAGTGTGCGTGCATGTGCACATATGTATGTGTGTACATCCATCTATGAGAATTCTGCAGGAGAAAAGAGGTTCCTTTTAAGTTTCCAGTAGAAAGTAAGATAAAAATAATTTCCATGCCTTCATCGTTATTTTAGCTACAAAGAATCTTTCAATCAAGTGACATAGGAGATAAAAATAAAGATGTGGTATAGCCTCTTGCAACATTTTAAGAGAAAAGACTATGTTTGCATTTCTAGGCTGCAAAGAGAATTTGTTCTGAAACTCAAGAAGCAGAAAGCATGCTCAAAAAGCAGAAAACCTCTCTCTCATCCAAACCATCATCAATGCAAGGGTGAAGGCAGGTGCCTGGTGGCACAACGCTTTTAGGATGAAGTGGAAGGAAGTCCTTGTGCCAAAGCCAGCTGGCAAGTAAGGCTGGGACATGCAGGTGAGAACAAAGTACTTCCATGCTTGCACAGACACAAAAACAATATTTTTTCATTTCTTTCATATTTTCTTCCCCTTTTCCTTGAAATATAAACTACTCTGTACAAGCATATAGCTGTACCACTTGGCAGCCTCTGAAAATTAGGACTGTTCTTATGCCTCTGTATTTGGAAATTGTTATTCCAGGTTACACTTTCCTGTCAGCACTTATAGAAGCAGAAGAGCACAGACAGTTCCACTAGTAGTATAGCAATGGCATCCAAAGAAATATTAAGGAAAAGCTGCTGTGGGAAAAATAAAGGAAGTCTCTTAGTTGTGGGACACAACAGTTTCATCTAAAGCCAGTGAAGGAAGAGTAT